CCAGGTACTCAGTAGGTCCTCTCTCAGGTCCAAGATGGTGGCGGCATAGAAGGTTAAACTCGCCCCCTCCCATGAGCAAAATCCAAATAATAGAGCAATTCTTCACGCAAGACAACTGAAAGTTGAATAAACAATTTCTGAACAACAAATGAGAGACAGAATAGGGAAGGTTGGGAAGTCACAAAGCCATCTAGCAGCTGTGGAAACTCTGGACAAAGGAGCCAGTGAGCACCATTGTTTACATTCCCCTACACTTGATAGGGCTGGGGAGCTCTATCCAGGTGCTTTGGCCTACCTGCAAGATCACCACTGGGTGTTCCTGGCTACATTGCAGTCTTTTGCCTCCCAACAGAGGAAACAAGCCAGGAATAAGGCATCACCACAAATACCTGGCCTCCCTGCTGGGAGCCACCCTAGCCCCTATAGCAGTGATGGCGAACCTATGACACACGTGTCAGAGGTGACACGCGAACTCATTTTTTTGGTTGATTTTTCTTTGTTAAATGGCATTTAAATATACAAAATATCAAAAATATAAATCTTGCCGAACTGGTTTGGCTCAGTGGATAGAGCGTCGGCCTGCGGACTCAAGGGTCCCGGGTTCGATTCCGGTCAAGGGCATGTACCTTGGTTGCAGGCACATCCCCAGTGGGGGGTGTGCGGGAGGCAGCTGATCGATGTTTCTCTCTCATCGATATTTCTAACTCTCTGTCCTTCTTCCTTCTTCTCTGTAAAAGATCAATAAAATATATTTGAAAATATATATATATATAAATCTTTGTTTTACTATGGTTGCAAATATCAAAAAATTTCTATATGTGACACGGCACCAGAGTTAAGTTAGGGTTTTTCAAAATGCTGACACGCCGAGCTCAAAAGGTTCGCTATCACTGCCCTATAGGCTAGTGCTCCAACTAAGACTACATAAAGGTAACTTCTTCACCAGACCACTTTCTGTACAATAAACAAAAAAGAGCATATACAGAGAAAGGTGGGGAGCCCCGGGACTCCAGAAATTCTACAAGGTTGGCATTGTTTCCCCAAAGTTGTTTATGTCCCCCTCCGCCTCCACCAGGGTGGTCATGGGCTCTATCCAGGTGCTCTAGCCTACCTGCAAGGTCCCTGTAGCATGTTCCCAGAAACATTGCCTCAGCCCATTTCAGCCCCCAACAAAAGGAGCAAGGAAAATCAACAGGTCATTACTACATGCACCTGGCTGCCTAAACCCCCTGGAGCCATTCTGGCTCAGTGGGCAAGGGCTCTGGACGCCTCTTACTAGCCTGCCAAAACCACCTAGCACACACAGCCTACACAGGCCACTTCTACCTCAGGCTACTTTTTCATGACTGGGAGAAAGCTATTTTGTGTAATTCATATAAACAAAGTCAAACAAAATGAAAAGACAGAAGAAAAAAGACAGAAGAGTATCTCTTAAATGAACAAACATGAAAAATCCCCAGAAAAATACCTGAAGGAAATAGAAACAAGTAATTTTCCTGACAAAGAATTCAAATAATCATAAGGATGCTCTCCAAATTTGGGAGTAGAAAAGAGGAACTTAGAACTTCAACCAAGTTATCAAGTATAATAATAAAAGAGAAACATGGTAATTAGCGTACGACCGCTACCCTTCCCATTGGCTAATCAGCATATCCTTATGCAAATTAACTGTCAGCCAAGATGGGGGCCGGCAGCCAGGCAGCTGGAAGCAAACATGAGGCTTGCTTGCTCCAGTAACTGCAGACTCCAACGTTCCCCGCCTGACTGCCGCTCTGAGGTGGCAGTTTGAAACATTCTAACAAATACAGAAGGCCGGGATCTCAGAGCTGGAGTTATACATTGTTTCGATTAT